AGCGTTCGAGCCCCAGGTCGAGGTTCGAGGTCGATCGTTATGCAAGTGATCCGGTATCGATGATTCTCCGAGGAAAAATATTCATTTTAGTGTTGTGGTGGGTGGTGACGCTCATCGTGCTCTTTGTAATTATTGGAGTGTCATTTCTGTCGAACGCCTATGAATTCGTTGGGTGAGTCTTTAAATTTGATTCTGTATGACTGAGAAAAGAATAAAAGTTAGTGAAACGCTTGGACTGCTTCCTTTTTGATCATCCTGAGAGCACGGTTCGCCATTAGAGTCTTCTTAAATTCTACCGTAATGACCTAGCAAAGTCGTTGCGCAAGGGTACCACTATCTCGTCGAAAGTGGGCAAAAGACATTGTCTTGACCGTTGGGAGCGCTGCCGTTTTCCTCGTTGGAACCATATGTGGTGTCTGCGCCATCTTATTCTACGTTCTCTCTCGTGTGTTCCCTCTCCTATCCACGCTGTTTCTCTAATCCTATCATGGTCTCGACCTCACAAGAAAACGAGGCCCCCAATTTCAGCTTTTCCTATGGTTTCTTTTATTTTTTCTCACTAGCGACCTCCTTATTCACAACTTTGGATCATATCCGAGAGGAGAACAGAATATTCAACTGAAAAGATAGATAATGATAATACAAGATGGTGATAGATGATGATACATTTTTGCTAGTCACAAGTGAACCCTGGCTCCATCAGATCCTATGGAAATTAGGTTGCAAAGATCTCAGAAATGGGTAGAATTATCAGTTCTACAAATTTCGGCATATGGAATCTTGGTTCCTAGAGCACCCTTCACTGACTCAGGGGCGACATTAGGTGAGACCAATCATTTGTCCGCATTGCGACTACACTATGGGACTTACATGGGGCATCAGGGGCAATGCCCATTTCAGCCTGCTCCAAAGTTTCAAGAGTTCCTGGGCTCACAGCTATCTAAGAGCACTGTTTGCGTTGGAAATGTGGGCGTGTCTAAAAAGGGCCGGCCTAGAGATAGGAGCCAACGCGCTTCTCAGTGCCTGAACCTGGAAAGCCCTTCCTGTCCCACCATCTCATCTTATTATTTGCTTTTCGGCGTCTAGTCCTCCCTAATGCAAACCGTTGTAAATAATGAGTATCTTTCATCGAGTAAAAAATATTACCACAGTAACGATTCAATCGCAAAAAATGGTATATATGTACTAGGGGGCGGAAGTGGTGTAGTGGCAAGTGGCACGCTTACCACGCGAGCGGTCCGGGATCAAATCCTGGGTCGTGAGTCGCCCGGGCCAACCAAGCCTTCCATCCCTCCGGGGTCGGTTAATTGGTACCAGACTTGTCTGGGAGGATAAAAAACACTGACTTGTACATCGGCTGGCCCCCGCAAGTCATTGTATAGGCCACATCGCATTCAAACGCCACTACGAATGTACAAATGGAAGTAGAATGCGTGCCGCATCCCAAAAAGGGATTGATCAACGGCAAATGCTTTATCCTTTATCCTTTATATGTAGTAGGATTCTAGCCGTATTTGGGAATTAGTGATTATAGGGTGACACAGCTCAATTGATTTTGTAAAGGGTGTGCCTCCACAATCTACGAGCACGCAATACTGGCAAAGTTCCAGGTTCCAATATCGAAAAGCACGCGCCAAGTCGCAACTTCGTCGTTTCGACGAGCTAATGACACGAGTTGGTTGCGGGACTATAACTGGTATTCCACTTGCTCCCAACGAACAAGTTCTACGTGCCGTTTGTAAGTGGTAAGTAGTACGAGTTGTTGGTTTTTAGGCACAATTTTGACCGCATTATTAATCCTCGCAAACAGAACAGAAAAAAAGTAACAGGAAAATGTACAAACCAAGGAGCTTTCGAAATGGAGCTCTTTGAGTTGTGTCCATGCTTTCCTGAGATCATGGCATAACAGAAAAGTCGTATAACTTCGTATAATGTATGCTATACGAAACAGAACAGGAAAAGGAGGTCAACCGGCTGGAGCCAGAAAAGTCTCGAGAGGTTGGCGGCGAACTTGTTCCAAAATATGATCCCAGCTGGCTTTGATACGGGCTTTTTTTCGCGAATACGTGTCAGCGGAAAAAAGTTAATAAATAATAATTAATAATATTAGTACGGGATATTCTGATGATTAATAATCACAGACCAAAACTGTATTTGAGCAGAGCGGTAGGTGGCAGATGGGAGAAAGGGCCCGCCAGTACCGCGCGCTGCTGATCGTGTAGGTGAATGAAGGGGCCTCACGATAGCATTATGTATCTCAAAAATAACGTAGTATCTCCCTACTATTATTATAATTTGCTACAGTCTGTCTGTCTGTCTGTCTGTCTGTGTGTGTGTGTCTGTCACGAAATTCATAGCGCCCTTCGGTGCAACAGTGGAGCGCTGTATTTTGAGTATGTTGTAGGGGTGGGACGGGAACATATTTGGTGGGGGACCAAAGTGATAACGACTGATAAGACCGATAAGAGGCGCCAGAACGCCAATTTCCGCGATATCCATAGCGCGCGTCCTAGCATCAGTGAGGCGTTGGTTCGAAGAAGTGTTGTGGGGGGTATGACGGGAACATATATGGTGGGAAAAAAGAAAGGGATAACGGCTGATAAGGGCCGATAATAACGATATGCGCAAGAATATAGAGGTCACTCAAAACCAGACTTTAGATAAAGCATTTCATTTCAATATTCTTTCATTTGCGTTGTTATCATCAGCCCGAAATACCACTAAACCGCTATGCCCCCCAGAGTTCCTAAAAATGTATGGTGTGAGTTCAAAAATACGATAACGAGTGCTGGATAATTATGTTTAACATCACACACAATCCGACCGCTAAATTACACTGGCATTCGATGCATGGTGGTTGTTTACAGACACCACTTTAGCTCCGCACTCCACTGCGCGTATCAAACGGTGAGCTTCTGCTAAGATAAAGAGCCTATGTTAGCGGTGAATCTAGCGCTTTGTCGGCTGTCCTGTCTCATCCCGACCTTCCGTTTAATGCGCGCGGTAGCGTGCGGCGCTAAACTGGTGAGAGCAGTTAAACTTCTATTTATTGCAGCTATAGTTACAGCCCTAATTCCTTGCAATATTTCAACTTTTTTCCTTTATTGATCCACAATCACTGCATACATAAGCCTTCTTTTTCGAGCGCAGTAACTTTCACCTAGACCATTTCGAAATTTGTAGCTTGCCAGCTAAACATCCTCCTTTCTTATAGCATTTTGAGGCGTCTCTGCCGAAAATCCAAAAACGCCTCTAGGCTTTTCGCGAAACCATGTCGATTCATGCGCAGGATGGGACACTGATCCCGAAATCAAATGGGTATCGTGGTAGTTGCATGCGGTGAAACTCCAGGCGGCGTCTGAATTGGATGGCTGTCTTGTTGATGGGACGGTTTGCGTTAAACCTGTCACAAGATGATCGGAAAACCACAAGTCAGGGATGCAACAAACTTAGACTTCCGTTTTTTGTATTTGCTCGAATTCATCATGATGTGTTATAAACTCAGTTAAACTGTGCCTGAGGAAAAGATATGGTTGACATAGCGCAACGTACCCACGAACGAGTGGTCCAGTGCACATTGTTTTTATAAAAGTATTGGAGTTCTCAACCACTCGTGTGTAATTAAACAATGTGAGACTTCAAAATTTTATTGCAAAAGACTCAAAACTTTCTACAAAAGAGATTGCAAAAATGAGTGTTTGCAAAAGTTTTGCAAAAGTTTAAGCCTTTTTGGCGAGCTTTCGGCGCTTAGCGCCTTTGTCGAGCCTGAAATGAAAATTATAAGCTTTCTTAAAGTCTGTTAATATATTAAAATATATTAACTGACCCACCTGCTGTCACTTTCAAAAGTGTAACACTTACCACCCTTGTTGGTCTGTGATTAGAGCTAAAAAAAGCCAAGAACTTGATTCCCTACCCGTTTAGGATCTTCTCTTAAAATAGACGGAGCCTCGATTGACGGTTAATGTCACTCGGACGTTAATATTCCCAAAATATCGCCATTATTTAAAGTTTTATTATTTAAAAGCTTATGATGTATCGATTATTGTAAAAGTTATGAACAAAGGCGCATTGTAGTTTGTTTCCTTAGGTTGTTCATTAGATTTTTTACCATAGCGCTCTGTCATACGAGAACCAGCGACCAGGAGCGCGCTCAATGACAGGTGACGGCGTCCCCATGCAGATCTGGTAACTGATGATTCATAGTGATAGGATCTGGTAACTGATGATTCATAGTGATAGCTGGTGAATGATGTTGGAAGTGATAGAAACTGAAGAATACAACTGCCAGGCAAATCATTTCACTGGCTGGAAACATCGTCACCTGTCGTGTGTGGTCTGCACTCGATGCGCTTCTGGTTTTCTGAAACACAGGGTAGCTCACAGCTACTACTTTTGCACTACTGCATGCCATTTATTGTTTCTTTGCTGTTCAGTTGAGCCTCGTTATGTGGTTGTGCATGTGCATCGTGTTTCAGCAACAAATCCTCTGCATGTCGACGTGATCTGTATCGTGTGCCGGCCATGTCGCCAATCGCGTTCGAATGTGACGCGTCCACCGGCACCGACAATCGGCTTCCACCGACACCGAACTTCTCTCAAGCATCTTCGTTGAGTGGTGGCTATGCGATGTGAAAGAGACCGCTGGTAATGGTCTCTTGAGCAGAGTGTAGTTCTAAAAACTTCCAAATACAACTTTACCCCTTTCTTTCCAATTTCCGATTTTCCTTCACCAGCACCATTTGTGGTCGTTTCGCTGTCAAAACTTTGCATGTTATGTTCAATCATTGCCTTTAAAAATGCACACCATTAAATATAATGACCATTCAAATGTTCATTTTTTATTAAAGGAGCAATTATGTGTAATTTCCGAATAAACACTTCCGCATTTCTGCGCTCTATTTTTCTGAAGTCGCCTGAATTGAATCTCATGGGGTGCACCGGAGTTTGGAGGAAGCGATCACGCTGGCTTCCACGTGGATTTGCTACCCTCGCGTTATCAATCGATAAGGTGTGAGGCAGTAATTGTTGGACGAGTGTAAGCCCATGGAAGATATGATACGATGAGATAAGAAGGTGGCTGCTTGATAAGAGGTGCACTCCAGAATGAAAACGGGACGATAACGATAACGGTATCATATCGAGTACGCTGAAGCTACAACCCAATACGTAGACGTTTTTGTTACCCGGAAGTGGG